GTCATATGTCATTTTAGTTTGGTACTGTAGTTTATCTACAGCTTGTTTATCAACTGTCTGAAGCACAGGTAGTTGATTATTACAGAGCATATTTTTGGGTAATTCCCCATTTTGCACTACATGCGCACCCGCGAATAGCTAGCTCGGATTATGCAGTTTAACAACTGTGTAACACCGGTGTGATACCACAGACAAACAGACGTAACTCTTCATTGTGTATCTTCGTTCACGCATTTAACGGTTGATTTGAATATTATCAGTTCCGCGAACTACTCGCCGCAGCGCTGGCATCGGATCACTTTGACGTTTCTATACATTCTATAGAACTTTTATGCAATATTGTTTGCGAGTTAGCGAGCAAGCTTGTTTTCCGCGAGAAGCCTGAAAGATGCCGCTACTGAGGTCCTATGTTTTGAGATACTATGTTTTCAAGAAAAACTTTTTCAAAGAGTTACGTCTGTTTGTCTGTGGTGATACGATCACTAACTAATTATTTTATTGTATGCACTACTGAACGCATTTATTATTCTTAGAAAGTGCACTGTATTTAATCAACGCAATCGAACTAAATCGATACCGGTACCGTCGGTGGTCGGAAGCTAACTGGCTATTCTCCTATCTTTATTTACAAGTGATGCTGCGAGAGCACATCACTGATAGCCTATCGTGCCTATCTCTCGTGGAGGTAGGTAGAGTATGATCTGCATACATGCAGACGATCGTGGTCACTCATTTCTCCTGGATTCCCTAATCTACAGTCATGCTTGGCATACACAATTTTGGTCAAGAACTGCTTATTTGCTAATAACTTTGCACACAGTTGACGGAACATAGTTCTTTTTGAAGCAGTAGATAGAATAGAGTGTAAGCTTGTTATTGGTATGTAAAAAAAGTAGATTTTAATGCTAGTGGTAAACTGTATTTGTTTTTGCGTTGTAAAAATGAGGTGAGAAATGCTCAGTGTTAAATTGATTGGTGTTGATTCAAATGATAAGATTGACCTACTCTTTGCAAGTCTACAGTTAACTATGATCCTAATCTATCAATTACCTTGAAGAAAACAAAATTTCAACAACTGAGTGAAAAGTTATTAACAAATGAGCAGTTGGTGTGTACAACTGTGCATGCCAAGCATGTCTACAGTGATGCACACAATTAGGTATCCTAGTTTCCCTAACACATATGTTGACTACGGTGACCGCTTACAAGACTGGTCCTTATACGTCACCCCGATTCCAAATATACCCATATTGTGGGGTATTTGACAGAATTTTCCAGTTTCCTTTTAACCGGATGCCACCACCTTAGATTCCAAAATGGCGTCAGACATAGATTTCTGGTTCCTATACGTCACCGCGATTCCAAAAATTCTCATATTGTGGGTTATTAAACAGTATTTTTCTGTTTACCTGTAACCGGAAGCTGCCAGCTTGAATTTCAAAATGGCGTCATACATGGGTTTCCAGTCTTTATACGGTACACCAATTCCAAAAATACTAATATTGTGGGGTATTTGAAAGTATTTTCCAGTTTTGGATTTCAAAATGGCGTCAAACTTGGATTTCCGGTTTCTACACATCACCCCGATTCCAAACATACCCATATTGTGGGTTAATGAACAGTATTTTTCTCTTTTTCTCTGACCAGAAGTCGCCATATTGGATTTCAAAATGGCACCAAGCATGGATTTCCGGTTCTAACACGTCACCTTGATTCAAAAGATACCCATATTGTTAGATAGTAATTCTCACTTTTCATGAAACCGGAAGCAGCCATATTGGATTTCAAAATGGCGTCAGATATCAATTTCTGGACTCTAGACATCACCCCGACTCCAAAAACACCCATATTGATGGGTACATATTTGATATCAAACATCCCTATTATAAACATAAACTGTTCGGAGTACTCCGGATACTCCCGTATCACAGTATATCCTATGAAAAGTAGTATATACTGGCATATGCCCATCAATATGGGTATTGTTGGAATCGGGTTGATGTCTAGAATCTGAAAATTGATGTCCGACGCCTTTTTGAAATCCAAGATTGTGGCTCTCAGTTTCATAAAAAGTGGGTAATACTGTCAAATACCCATAAATATGGGTATTTTTTTTAATCGATGTGAAATCTAGAGGCCAGAAATTGATATCCAACGGCACTTTGGAATCCAATATGGCGGCCATTGGGTTCAAAAAAGTGGAAAATATCCTACAATATGGTAATTTTCAGAACGGAGACGAGGTGTAGATGCTGTAAATTGATGTTTGGAACCCAATATGGCGGCCATTGGGTTCAGAAAAAATGGCTCGGAACAGGAACGACGTGTAGATGCCGAAAATTTATGTCTGACGCATTTCGGAATCCAAGATGGCGGCCATTGGGTTCAGATAAAAGGTCTACCCTTTGATGTGGGTTTTTTTTTCGGAACGGAGCCAATAGTTAGATGCCGAAAATTGATGTGCGATATAATTTTGGAATCCCAAACGGCGGCCATCAGACAACGTGGCAAATACCCTACAATATGGGTATTTTTGGAACGGGGACGAGGTGTAGATGTCAAAAATCGATGTTCGACGCCGTTTTAGAATCCAAGATGGTAGCCATTGGTTTCAAAAAGAAGGTAAAATACCCTACAATAAGGGTATTTTCGGATAAGAGACGACGTGTAGAGGCTGAAATCCGATGTCTGACGCCTATTTGGAATCCAAGATAGCAGCCGTTGGTTTAGAAAACCTGTGAAATACCTTATAATATGGATATAGTTGGAACGGAGACCACGCGTGAAGGCCAACAATCGATGTTCGACGTCATTTTGGAATGCGACATTGTGCAGGTGGCCAAGTGTAAAATATTATACGATATGGTCACCATACTGGATTCCAAAATGGCGTCGATCATAAAATTTCGGCATCTACACGTCGTCTCTGCTCTGAAAATACAAATTTCTCTGAACCTAATGGCCGCCATAATCGATTTCAAAATGGCGTCGGACATTGATTTTTGTCATCTACCGGTCGTTCTCGTTCCGAAAACACACAAATTGATGGGTATTTTCCATTTTTTCTGAACCTTATGTCTGTCACATTGGATTAAAAATGGCGTCGGATATCAATTTCCGGACTCTAGACATCACCTCGTTTCCAACAATACCCATGCGGATTATTTGCATCCAATTGAAAGATAATACTATGGAGAACATATATATTATATAAAAATACGATGTCATTAATATAACGTTGTTTTATTCCAATAATAAACTGTGCTTATACTTTCTGGGACACTCTATATCCACTTTTTTTTTCTATCCGGATAATTTTGAAACTTTTCAATCCGTATAATTTTAACTCGCATATTATCCGTTTTAAAATTATTTGGATAGGGATAGGGTTAGTATCCAATGATAGATTGGATAGTGGAAAATGGATAGGAATAACTGTCGAGAAATTTTTCAACTCGAAAAATTCCTAACGTTAAGCGAGAATCGATCTCAACTGCCTCCACCATGGTCTTGCTTCATTGCTGCGCCTTTACAGCCCCGTTTTATATTTCTATAGTATTCTAAACATTACATTTGTTACTCTGTTTATTCTACAATCTGTGTTTTACATATATGACATCTTATTTTACAGCAGCTTAAGGAATTTCTTGTGAACCCATGCATAATTTCGTTATTTCTTTCGAGAAAAGTAGTTTTCCTATTTCATTTGATTCCATTCTTGCTCCAACTGAAAACCACTTCTCCGAATTATCAGTGATTCCATTTAACCTACTCCCATTGCACTCACCTCACTCTCCATTAAAACATGTCATATAATTAAAACATTTTTGTTGCATCATTAATAGTAAAACTTGAACATTTTCAACTTTTAAAAGGAATTCACCCGAGAAAACTCCAGGATAGTGAGCAGCCATAAATTAAATTAGTCGAAACAATCAACTGCTCGTTCCGGGCATTCCGTTTTGCTGCCCTGGACGTCGTCGTCGGTCGAGAGCTAGAAGCGCAAGAAGGAACTAATGCTCCGACAGGAGTTAGGTAGTAGGGATATAGCCTGCAGTCAAGCAGCAGCAGTAGCAATATGGCAATTTCAGCATCATGGGGCGATGTGGTGCAGATTTGTTTATGGCCTTGGTGGTTGTTGGCTATTTTTTTTTTTATTCCTATCATCTTGGCTTCCGTTGTGCAAGCAAACGATCAAGGATAGAGGGAAGCTGCAAACTCTTTTACTTCAGCACGATTATTTCCTTTATTGTCAATATCCTGCTGCTGATGGGATTTTTCTGCTGCTCTGCCCTACGACGACTACGACTAGCACCGCCGTTGATGGCCGGTACTAAATCTGTCTGATGGGGTTTGTGCAGCTGCCGTCGGGGTACTGCACGTGGGACACGTGCAGATGCACTTTTATGCTCTTTGAACTACGCAGGAATGAGTTGATGCAAATTCGAAAAATTATGTTTTATACCTTGTGGAACAAGACACCCGAGAACAAATTCCGTGTAAGGTAAAAACACCTCATTTACTACAGAACTATGGGCAAAACGACCAGTGCAAAATTTGCATACAAATTTCCGGCATAGCATGAGCGCGGTCGCGCTCGGTGGATCGCAATCAAGATGCGTTGCTATGTAGCTCCCAACTCCGAAGGCGCCGGTAAGAACTTGAGCGCAACACCAGCAGAGACTACCAATTAAGGGTCCGGGGAGGTCCGGTTCTTGATGGTAGTATTAAAATTCAACTTATTCTTTATGCAAAACCATTGTTGGTTGCGATCCGGCGCGGGAGAAGGGTAGTGTAATTAAAGAAGCATTCCTATTCATACGCGGCTATCCGTTCGATGATTAGCATACTAACTAAGTTCGGTTGAAGTCGTTGTCGTCGTCGTCAACGACGCAAAAAAAGTACTTGTTTGAGGGTGCAAATTTATGCAACTATTCAGTTTTGTTTTAATTATAAAAATGGGTTCTAACTAATAGAAAATCATAACTTTGTCGTTTCAGAACTGCAAAAGATTCAATCAGCAAACCACATCTCAACGCAGAAACGCAATCAGCACCGTTGAAGGTAAGCATATAGGATTCACGGCATAAATATTCTCGTTTGGTGTTTTTTAAGAAAACAGCTGGCACTATTTTTATTCGGAACTAAGCCAGTAAGAAGGAAGATTGAAAATGAAGATTTCTACCGCGGCGAAACATGTTCGATTTATAAATTTAGCAGTTGACCGACGTGTAGAGGCCGCAAATCGATGGTTGACGGCATTTTGGAATCCAAGATGGCGACTTCCGATTTGTGGTGAAATTTTGGATTCCCTGCAATTCTGGGTCTTTTCGGAACAGTGCCGACGTGTTGAGGCCGGAAATCGATTATTGATGCCATTCTGGAATCTAAGATGGTGCCAGGTTATCGAAGTGCCAAATAAATGTTATGCTACTTGTTTTTAAATAACGTTTATTTTCGAAAAATATGTAATCAATCTTACAATATCTCCAGGAATTGTATACATTGAATACAGAACAGCATGATATACCAGCGACTTGGTTGTGGAATGCATGTAGCACTAGAGGTTTTCTAGCAAGTAGTAACCCGAGCAAAGTTGGTTAACAAAATGAGAGCAAATCGATATTAAAGTTTGCAGTTCCTATCATAAAGGCTGACTAAAAGTAAATTGGTACGCTCCTCGTGCACCTCTAGCGTTGGGAATCGAAAATCTTTGACAGTGGTTTGTTAACACTTCTATAGAGAACAACTGGTGCAAGTTTGATCAAAGTAGTCGATCGCGTTCAGAAATAACGTCAAATGGAACTCGAAAGAAGAAAAAATATTGTGCACAAACACCTGGAAAATCCGGAGAGGTCCGGTTCCAAACTGGCTAAAGTGCTGAAGATGCCGAAAACAACAGTTTGTTGAGTGCTCAAAACCTACAAGGAAACCTTGGAGTGTGGAAAGGAATCAGTGGACCTATGAAAAAAAAAACTGGAACCAGGGATCTTCAGCTGCGCAACAAGATGTTGAGGTGCGTTAAAGCCAACCCCGGTCTTTCGATCCGAGATGTAGCCAGAAGGTGCAACGCCCACTTTCGAAGGGTGCGGAATATCCTTGCCAGGGAATGATACAAATCGTACAATGCCAGTAAATATCCGAACCGGCACATGAAGCAGAATTCCGTGGCCAAAAAGCCTGCAAGGCTCTTGTACGACCGTATTTGACGAAACACAATTTTAAGCAGCTTCCCGGTCAAAAGTTTTACATCGCGACTGGACGTGGGGAAGTTCCGGGAAGATTCAAGTTCGTGTTTGCCGACAAGTTCGCGAAGAAGGCCATAATTTTGCAAGCGATTTGCAGTTGTGGCCTGAAAACAGAACCATTCGTCACATCCTGGACGATGACATCCCAAGTTTACAATGAAGAATGCCTGAAAAAACGTGTATTGCCGTTCATCCGCAAGCATAGAGGCAAAGTCACATTTTGGCCCGAGGTGGTTCTGGAGTGGTATGCTGCCAACAAGATCGATTTTTTCCCCAAGCTGATGAATCCTCCGAATTGCCCCGAATTTTGACCAATCGAAAAATACTGGGCAATTTTAAAGCAGCGACTTCGACGAAGAGATGGGGCAGTCAAGGACGTCCAGCAAATGCGGGCAAATTGGAAGAAATGGGCTGATTCCGTGACCGTTTTCACTTTGCGGGCGCTGATGGGCTTCATCAGCATCAGAAGATGGTTCGAGATTTCGTTCGAACTGGAGAAATGTAGCCATCTAATGCTGTAACTTTGAAGTTTGAATAAAAGTACTGTAAAGCAACCATTAATGGACTTCTTAAACTTATTGAATCACGAATTACAGGCATTTTTGTGCGTACCGATCTTCTTTTAGTCAGTCTTTAATGTAAACCCATTTTGATTTCAATTGTAGCTGCATAAGTCTGATATCATAGTGTGCTTTCATTATGCAGTTAAAATTTTTAAATGAAAGCAACTTTACTTGAAATTCTGCTGTTAACGTATTGTTTAAAATTTAATTGAATTTCATCCGTCATTGAACTAACGATTATTGTTTATTTGTTTTATTTCACACATTTTAGGTCATTCGTGACTTGTCCGGGGTGTGATTTAAACTCAAGTCTTTCGGCGTGAGAAGCATTGATGCCCGTATTCAGTTAAATATTATAAAATGCAAAATCATTAATGAAATTTATTTCATTGAAAGCATTCCGTTTGATTTAACAGTGTTACAGTTAGTTGGAGGCGGACCAGCCCCAGGCTGAAAGCCTCCCTAATAGAGATAAATTAATTAATTGTTACAGTTCGCTCTCATTTTTGCTGTGTTAACTGTTAAGTCAACCAATATGAGATCAACTGGAGTATTCAAAACAAGTTACATGATAACAGTAAATTTTGAGTTCAATTTGATCTCCAGCTCTGCTCGGTAATGGTCTCAATAGTGCTTAGGATAACTGGAACTGGAGCATAACTGAACTAGGTTCTCTAGTGAAACAGCGGAATTTAATTTGGAGCTTCATTTGAAGGGTCTATTTCATTGGCGTAGCTAATGGGGGTGCCAGGGGGGCCAGGCCCCCTCCAGAATTATCTAGGCCCACTCCAGCCCTAGTAGCACGCTTGTCACAAATCAATTGTAGAAACTTATATACGACTTATTTCAGTCATAAACAAGTTGCTGTAACTTATTGTGATGAAAGTTTGCTACTCGGGAGAATTATCTAGGCCCCTCCAGAATTATCTAGGCCCCCTCCATAATTATCTAGGCCTCCTCCAGATAAATTGTCTAGCTACGCCAATGGTCTATTTCAGGATTGGTAACGGGTGTTCAATAAAAAATGAGAATGATTTCAGTGCCGTCCTGCGCTCTTGTGAGAGCATCACGACTAAGTTGCGTCATACGGCTGACCAGGGCCCTTTCTCCAATATTCATTTACGTTTTTTGAAAAATAAACATTATGTTTTTAATATACTGAATTCGTTGAAATTTTTTTTTTCACTAGCTATATGAGTGAAAAAATTCTCATTTTTTATTGAACACCCGTTAGTTACAGTTGGAGAGTTCATAACTTAACGTCCACGATGTCAAATAGGCTAAAAACAGATTTCAGTAACAAGGGTTCTTAATCCACTGGGTTTCATTACCTTTCACTATTCGGTCAGCAACAATTTCAATTCCAGTTCCAATTATTTCAGGTACTGTTGAGGCATTACCACTTGTTACAAAATGTTATTTAGCATTCAATGTACATAATTCCTGTATATGTAACAAGATCAAAGGGCAATCAACTCCGTACAGTGTGCCGAAATACAGCATGTCAAACTGTTCGGCACATTAAGGCACACCAACAATCAACCAATTTTGAGGATCGTTAGACAAATTCTGTAAGTATTCTCTGAATCGTGAATCTCTTCAGATCTAGCAAAATCCGTCTCTTCTGAATCACAGCAAAAATCCCAGCTTCTCGTGTTTTCATCTAAACAGCTACTATTCGGGCCTAACTTCAATCGAGTTCATCCACACCATGGCCAGTCAAGAGTGTCTTGTCGATACGGCAGTCAAGACGGCTGAAACGGGTTACCTCTAGTGACCATTCGTGCCAGATGGTTTCCTTTGATGATACATTTGGAAGGCCACACAAACAAGTACATTAATATCAAGTAAATGGATCACAAATCACATCTATTCAGCGGGGATGGTGGAACACCTACACTATGCTGTTATTCGTACAAAAAGATGAATATCATGCATCCTACGAAGATCGGAAAGGTGAGCATCCTCAGATTCAGTATTGGAAAATTTCACCAAACCCAAGGGGTGGTCACTCTACAGTTCTACACACTTGTTTTGCGCCAACTTTTTTCTCAGTTTAACTCAGTGTGCCGCAGCTGGCACGGCAGTGTCGAGAAGTAATTGAACTGACTTTTGTTTGCTTGTGAATAATGAATTGTTTGGCAACCCGGTATTTTGACAACTCTTGATTTTGTTTTGTTTTTCGAAACCTGAGAACTCATATGACGACGACGATTTTGGGCGGCCGGAGCCGGAAAGCGACAGCAGTCAAGAAAGTGGTGGACGCTTTGTGCTAGTCATGACTGTCGGCTCTTCGGAGTCGAAAGGCGCTAAGCGCAAAGCCATTCCAAGCGACGAACAGACGAAGAACACCAACGGAAGATCAAAGCCATGAAGCAGCTGTACAAACCGCCGACGGTAGAGGAAATCAATCGGTTGAAGAAAACGGAATATTTCTACCACTCGAATCTGTTCCGGCTGCAGGTGGAAGAGATGCTAAGCGAGGTGAAGGTGAAATTCAAGGTGTTAAATTATATTGAGTGTTGGTTTGGCCATTTCCGGAACACTTTGAGGACGGTATCGTGCACCATCGTGCACCATATTGGATCCAGTCGTTTGGGAACATCTTATGGCAAGCCACTGAAAGTAGATTTACTGCTGGAGATTCCGGACAAGTGTTTCCGGAAGGAAGATTACCTCAACTTAATTACCTTAACTCACATGAAGAGGGCACATTTTCTGTGCCATCTGGCGGGCGGAAACATTGGACAAACATTCAAAGTATTCCTTGACCAGTGGGATCCTAAAAGGGGACTTCCGATGAAAAATTTGCCAATCGCGTTGTGTTTGTGGTGCACGCTGCTGCAATTTTTTTGTAACAAAATAAATTTAACAGTGCTAATTTTTAATATAACCAGATTTTATTTCGGCAATTATTCATAGTAGTGTATGGTAGCATAATGAAAACGACCATTTGACCATGTGCATCCATTATCACTCGTCGGCACCTTCCTCTTCTTCGTCGAACTCTCCTTCCTCGTCAATCGTCGTCTACTGGTACTACTGGTACTCCGAAACCATCATAATGCTCTTGGCTTCGGTGAACTCCATGTCGTCCGTTCCCTCGCCGGTGTACCAGTGTAAGAAAACCTTCCGGCGGACATTTTCAAACGTATGTATGACTTTGTGCGATGGATCGACAGAGTACGAATTCATGATGCGATCTGGGTATTCTTCTTGAATCTTCGAGATCAGTATCGAGAAAGTTATTTTT